AAAACACCGGCAAAACGGAGCTTCTCTCTCCATGCACACAAATATGAAATATGAAATATGCTCCTGATCGCCTCAAACAAGCCAGTCCTGCTGCACGCATGGGGCCAAATTGATTTTGCTCTGGCTGTTCCAAGACTATTTGAAAGTTGCTGTATTGCAATTTTGAACCAAAAAAACCCTTCAAGCGCTGCAGTGTCAGTGTCAGACTCGTTCCACCCATCTTTAAGCAATTAAATGTCAATGGTAGAATAACCTGGTTGCTGGAGATGGGCTTCAAAGGCATCGGAAAGAGACCGGGATTTCCAAAATGACAGCCAGATTTTAGGTGGGTGGTTTGCTTTAGGTGGGATGGTCGTAACTGTAAGGAGTTGTGATGGTTTCCATTAAATGATCAAATAAACTGGGTGCTGGGAAATAACTTTAGTCCCCTCCACTCTCTTTTTCCCTTGATATTTCAGACAGACTTTCAACAATATAAAACTCGCATGCTGTTTGACTGAATACAAAAGATTAGTTTAAAAAAGTATTTATTTACTATTATTCCTGTTATGTTCCATTACAAAAAGAAGCAAAACAAAACATAACAAAAACAAAACAGAAGATAGGGTTTTATTAGTGGTACATTAATGAGCTTAAACAACTAGGTGACTTATGTTTGTCACAAATACATATTACAAACAAACAACCACAAAACTATAACTCCTAATAAAATAAATAATTTCAATAGCTTTTCTTAAATTTTTAATATTTATAAAATATATAGCACTTTCTTTAACATTTGTTCAGTCTCTTTTTCTCCATAACAAATTAAAACTTATGACGTATTTCAAATATGCTAAAGGATAACTGAAAATTCAAAAGAAATATGTAATTCAGCTAATGTTCATCAATTTATTATTGTATATCGAGATTGTACATCTGCTGCAAAAATAGCCATTTCTTCACCTAATATACATATTTTTCTGTATAGTATTATAAGATTAAGTTTTTTTGACTGTAAAGTTCCACAGATTTGTATGCCTATGTAACTTGTTAATATATACCGAATATCTTCCTTTAGTATATACTAATATATGTATACTCACACACATATAGACACACACCATGTATTATATATTAGTATATACTGAATAATACAAGACTTCTATGATATAAAGTTGGGATTCCTGTGGACAAAGTGGAAGGTATGTATATTATAGGAGGGAATGCTGTGTAGGTATTACTATGTCCAATGTGTTTTAATAAACTACTGTACTGCAATGATATACAGAATCCAAATAGAAATTTTGTTTTTTATTCCCTATTTTTTTTCCTAGTGATTCCAATAGCTTGTGAACTGCTGCCTCAGTTAATCTTCTTGAAAACAGACAAATTTTATAAAAAGCCAAGGGTATAGAACTTAGTTGGCCTTACAGACCCTATTCCGGGAAGATGCTAAAAGGGCACTCAAAATCCTTTTTACTCAGGAAAGCATTAAACTCGGGTTTGACTTTATTCCCTTGGATCTTAGCGCTGGTCGCGCTCTTGGCACTGTTCTGGTGGGGGTACCGTGACGGTGGTGCCGGTTGTGCCCTACCGGTGTTGCTGCCTGTCCGAGCAGAGACAGGCGGGTGTAGGGGGGTACCCATGGGAACACAAGAGGGAATATGCACAAATTTGTGCCAGAAGGGGAGAAAGACAAAGCATGACGAGGACTGGCCAGCACAGGGTGGCATTTTGTGCGGTCCTGCTCCTCCACGTTGTGCAGCAGGAGAAGGGTGATGCAGAGAAACCTCCCTGGGACGATCCATCGCCTTCATGTGGCCTCTCTGCATGCAGGGATCACCCTGCGCCCTCCCGTGAGTGAGGGGCTGCTCCGTCCAGCCTCGGCCCAGGTGGAGGCTCCGCTCACTAGGGATCCTGCTGCACGTGGGATGCACCAGCAGGAACCGCCGGGACACAGGACCCGGCTGCGGGGCCAGCAGCCTTGCGGAGGGTTGTCCCTTTCAGCGGGCCTGGCTGCAGGGACTGCGTCCGCTGGAGAGGGGACGCGTTGGACGTGGCTTTGGTTTTGGTTTTTGGAGCTCGCCTGCTCCAGGGCTGCTCTGTGGTATGGACAGTATTGCAACACGCAGGGGTTTTACTGCAAAAGCTCTTTCTGCCCCAAACAGCTGCCCATGCAGCAGCAGCTCTGCAGGCGTGGGAGGGGGAAGGCGCCCGACTGCACAACACGTTATTAACACATTATTATCAGCCCAAATTACGGCCCTGCCTGGAAGGCTCCTGCTGAGAACCTCCAGGTCTGGTTTAGTCATTTAGTCATTTCATTTACTAAGACAGTTACTTGAATTTGGGAAGCCTAACTGGGGAATAAAAAGGACAGTACTTTAACTGTGCATTAATACACATGAAAGAATTAGAGACGTGATTACAAAGTAAAGGCTCAGAGCTGCCTGAAGCGTTTTAAAATCAGCTTAATTTTTTTTATAGGGACTATACTTTTCCAGATTGCAGACCTTGTAAGAAAATGGAAAGTGTGATACAATGATTTATGTTTAATATTAATCCATAACATTTTCCAAAGAGTTCCTTGGAATAGCTGTAAGCAGAATGAAGACTGATCTTTGTTTTAGGTAGAGGCAATACTGCAGGATATGCACACATAGGGATACTGATGTGTAGCTACCACTGCATTTTAAAGGTCAAAAGCTGTACATTCAAAAGATCTTCAGCCTTTTAAATATTGTGATTGATGTAAGATACATCTTAAGGCATTGAATAAACTAAATCATATTTCAAATAGCAGGCTGCAGCATCTACAACTATCTACCCATGTGTTTAACTGCTTCTGTGAAAGCACACAAAGTAAACAAATACATTTCTTCAGGAGTAACAGCTGATTTTGAACGGAATATTTTTCATTAATTTAATCTCATAGCATATCGGTACTGTTTACTATTATTTTGTATTCTTATGAGTTGTAGTCTGAGTAGCAAATCTTAAAATTAAGAACTTGATTATCAAAAGTGACCCACTTAACAACAGGTGTCCACAAACTTCAATTTGTCCTTAATTAACATAATTTTCATCATAAAAGCAAAGTAAGTCAACCCAAATATTTTCAGTTATAATTAGGACTATATATTTTTTGGTATCCTATTTAACATGACTTCAATAGGCACAGTACTATATGTATATGCATAAAGTTTTTTTTTTTTTAGTAAATTTATTTAAGGTTCAATATAATAGCACAAAGAGAGCAAATTACATTTTATTTTATGGGTTATTTATGGATTTATTTTATTTTGCCTGCTTTGCATTTTTTCATCAAAATAATTTCATTTGATTACAGAGCTTCAACAGAAAATGATAGTTCATAGTTCATTATAATTGTGTTTACCTTCATTGTTAGCTTACAAAATAAAAATATTCATTATTTCTTATATACTAAATGAAAGACTGCAACATAAAGTCTGCCATTTGACATATGTGTATGAAACTCATAATGCTTTAAATGTGAATTTCCTATGTGTATTTAAATGAAAAATATGGCCATTAAATATATCTGCAGATGATATTTCACTATTTCAGGACTATTTATAATTTAAAATTTGCCCTCCCCATCTCTTGGCTGAGTTTTCCACCAGCCTCCTCCACGAGGGCAGGCCTGGAGAGCAGAACCACCTCTCAGTGTCTATGAGCTGCCCAGAACCTGCTGGATGGATAAACCAGCACACGGCTGCAGCCAAGGCTGCCCGTTATATGCTCTTATATTGCCACTTTAATCTTTTCGAGACTAAGGATTAAGCCCCATCAGTTTTGCTCCTGGAAATACAGAGGGTTTGTTTTCGGTTTTCGGTTTTGTTTTTAAAGGAACAAAATAAAACAAATCACAGCACCGATTTGCAGGCTACTGTCTCTTAAATATTCTGAGCTTAACACCAGTAAGGAAAGGCTCTCTTTGCTGTGCACAGCGGCTCTAAAGGCAGAGTGTGACACAGGTTTCCATCAGACCCTGCAGTGATTTCAGCAGCTCAGTTCGGAGCAAAGCCCCGTTCCCCTAATTGTTTCATTTACCGAAATCCCTCGATCTGCAGCAGTTTGCAGCTGCAGAGCTCCTGTTGTTTCTCGAATGTGCTACTTTCACGTTTAAGCACATTAAACAAGGTCACTTAAGACATCTGCCTGTTGCGGTGGTACGGTTGTGCACAGGGGTGTCACCAGAACCCCAAACATTCCCTGGGCTTAGTTTTGGATTCTGTCACTGCCATGGGTGTTTCTTTAGGGGTTAACACAGGGATATCTGTGGCTGGGTGCTAAAAGGAAGGAGCTGATTTGAGAGCACAGAGAAGGAGAAGTTCTCCTAGCAGATGTGGCGCTTTCCTCTTCAGCGTTGTCATGTCCTGTCACAATTTGTGTTTCCAGTATGTGCTTTCTTGACAAGGGAAATGTCTGAGCCATCATCCCGAGACCACTGCAATTTCAGATTCAAAGCATCTGGGGTTTATAATCTCTCAGGAACAAATCCTAGATGCCACTGACAGCCACGGCAGTTTGGAACGGCATTCGGAAACCAGGATTTGACCCCGTTACTGACAGAGGATCCATAAAAACGCGCACACCCCCCACGTACTGCCTGTGAAACCCTGGACACTGGGGACACTCAGCACGATGCCCTCTGATCCAGCACCGGGCACCCACCCAGCTCCCGCGGCAAGCGCCTGTTCAAGTCACTTGAAAGAGATAAAGAGTTCCCAGAAATGATGTTTTTCAGATTATTTGAAATCAGAATCACCTATACTTCAAGGCCACAATTTGCAAGGACAGTCTCTCATATATGTCAATCCAAATACTTCCAATACAAAGCAAAGTGGCAGAGGCATGTTTTGTCCCTATACTTCATTCAGTTTTTGTCCCTGCCATACTTTCTATAGAGCTTCATTCTGAAAATGCTTCCCCCTGGATTTGTCTATTCACTTATAATTCTTTTAATATGAAGAGGTGGATGTGAAACATTTAGTCTTTCTGCTGCACCAGGCAAAGTGTATCCATAAGCCTAACCTGCTATGTGCTTTTATAACAAGTTAAAACAAGAAACGTACAGGAAGTTTTGATTTGAATATAGTAAATATAATCCTCGCAAAATTTAAAATATTTTATAGTTTAAATATATTTAGATATATTAAATAAATTAAATATATTTAAAAATATATTTTAAATATATTTTAAATATTATGCACATGCTGAAATTGCACCAATTGTTCTTCCTCAATGTTTTAATTTCTCTTGTCCTGCCTTTCAAAAAACGCCCATCTCTTGCACTCTTTCAGGTATATCACACGTATTCTTCCAATATTTTGCCGTGTCCACTAACGTGTGGAAATTAGCCCCAAATGAAATTATTTTCCAAAATATTATTCAAATAAAGTTTTTAGTTTAAAATTTAGAGCTCTCATGATTTATTACATTTGACTTTTGAACTAGTAGTGGTGGTCCAGAGTGATGTAAAATTTTAACTGTGCAAAGACATTATGCATTCTGTCACCAATTACATCTTTACAAGTTACTTAATTTGTCCCTGTCTATTACTAACAATATAAAAAAGGAAATCATTAAGAATTCAAAGGGTGGAATCGTTCTTCAAGCATAATGTTTAATGTCTATTTTGCTGAGAGCCTGAGTGGTAGAGAAATTGCATTTATGATGTGAAATCAAGATTATACATGGAAACAATGCATTAGGTGGATTGTGTCTGCAACAAATTCAAAAATCAAAGCTTGTGAACAAAGACTACTAGAGTTACATAATTTAATTATCAACAAAAAGCAGGAAGGAAATAATGGACAATCTATGTTACACACCTGTAGTTAATTTATGCTTAAAATTAATTTATATCACATCTGTTTTTATGTGAGGGAGAGGGAACGTTCATGGATTTTTTTTAACGTGTCAGTCCAATATGGCTCTACCTTTGTCATTGTTGCTATCAGAATAAAAGAACAAAATAAAAAACAGCAGCATGACTCAATGCACAGACACAAATATGGATACACAACAGTGCTTAAAGTGCTTTCTTATTTAAGGAGATACTTTCACAAATGCCTTTTCATGCTCATCTCCTTGTCACCAGGTACTATATGCTTGTTGCTTGCTCTTATGTCATTTACAATATAGCAGTAAGGTATTAAGTCCATACTAAGGGTTTAATATATTGTCATATAAAAACATCTGAAAACAGGAAAAGGACAATTCTATTTGTATATTATTACAGCAATTTGAAAATTTTATTAAATACCGAAGTGCTTCACTGCATCATTTACTCTTTTGCTTGCAGTGTTGCTTAAAGCACTATGTAAGTACAAATCATACTAAAAGCATATCCATCCTATTCTGGAGTTTTGGCTAGGAGTATTTACTGGTGCCTTGCAGAACAGAGATGAATTTAGGATCCCATGCGACCATTTATCTGCTGATACTGCAACATGTCTTTCCTCCCAAGACTGGTTTCCATGTGCACGGTTCACCAAAGGTCTAACTCTCATGAGTATATACACGGTTATGTCCTGTTTGTAAGTGGCAGTGTGAGGTGTCAAGTGGTATGCTTTAATTTGCCAGTACCAGAGGTTGTGGGAGCAGCAGAAGCTGTGGCCTGACTGCCCACGAACAGAGGGTCCAAACAAGCCACCTTGGCTGCGAAGAACGAGTGGATACAGTGAAGAACTGCAAACAGGTTGGAGAATTCCAGCTCCTGGAGGTGAAGGAAAAGAGGTTAAACATGAAACAAACAAGCAATCAAAGAAAAGAAAAATCACTAAAGTCATCCCATAAAATGAATAGATTCAAATAGAAGCAGTTTTAATAGTTTGATAGGCTTTTTCCTGGTATCTGCTTGATGGGAACTTAGATGTTGAGCTATCCCCATCCAATAAATAGTTGCATGAAGGCTAATACAAATACAGCTCTGAGTTAAATGCCTCCGCAGAAACATTATCTGATGAAGGTGCGGGAAGCAAATACCATATATTAGCTTTTTCCTGTCATGCAAATTTGGCACTGTTAGCAGGCTGATGTGTATGGAAAGGGAATGAATAGACCATATTAGTACACATATCTTTGGGCTACTATTTTCTATTCAGCGTCTCTGAAAAGATCAGCAATGTTGAGTTCCACATGTTGCATTTATCTGTCACTTCAGTCTATACTCATAGCTATTATTTACTTATTCTCACTCCTTAGTCAATAAAAGAAAAAAAAAAGAGGGACATATTTTCCGATATGTCTTGGGGCTACTGGGCTACTATCACACCATGATATTCTAGCTCGATTTTCATTTAGAGTCTTACCATTATCAGACCAAAAATTGGAACAAACTTTAGGTTTTAAACATACTAGCAAAATTAAACAAACAAACAAAAATCACTTTTTTGTTTTCCTTTAACTTACATTTCTTTATAATTCTTCAATATGCTATTAGACTAGCTGAGATGCTTTTGAACACCAACACAAAGGAAAGAAATTAAAAAGCCCTATGTTTTTATGAATATATGTACTTTTTGGCTAACTGATTGCATTTGATCAATTAAATCACAGGGATTGTGGTCTTCTTTAGGTTTTGATACATATGATATTTTTATGTTGTTTTGATCCAAATCAAAAAATATTTTGATTTAATAAACAGTTTCTCTACTTGAAAGATGAGGTACATGAATACATACATACGTTAGGCTGCAGTGCAGACTTGCTGTCTCTGTTGCATTTATGCATTGCCTACATTTACGTGTGTGTGTCTTGCACGATTAAGACAGTAACAGCACATCTGTGATGCATTCGGATTGTCTTTCTGCCCAATGGTTGTATTTGCAGGGTATCTAACGCCAGAGTTTTCTTGTTTGCTTACAAAGTATTCACAACCTTGTAAATACAACCCAAACTGTCGAACGTCTCCAGCTGATCTCAACCTGCAATGTTGTGTCTCCTGAGGCTTCCAGGAGGGTTCCTCTAGGCAACCCGTGGGGACGTTCACACAACTGCCATGTGCACGTGCGGCAGCTGCTGGGAAGCAGCCGGTTGGATGTGGAGGGAACGCTCTGACGGAGCCAGCGAGGGAATCAGCAGATGTCCTCAGGACATGCTCAGAAAGGAACCTCTAACTGCCCAAGAGCTTCCTAAACTCCCCTGACTATCAGTTCTCAAGAAAGAAGGTTAATGCCAACTTTCACACATCTGCTATGTTTATCAGTTTAAAATATCTGCTTAGGAACACTTTCAATTTTAGACACTGTGAGAAGTGTATTTTTATAACTATGTCAGAGTTTTTTTTCCCTCCTCAACATTCAAAATAAGATATGTATCCTAGATGGAAAATTAATGGAAATTCACGGATGAGGAAACAAGAAATTATGGAAACTACTTCATACTGAGAATTATTAGTATTTCAAATGAATGGATTTTTCAGTTAACCCATTTTATTAATATTACTTATCCTGTGCTTAGGATGAGCAAGTAAATATTCACTGGAACACTGAAATGTTTACGATATTCATGTGTTACACACAGAAAGACATTTTCCCCCTTTGTCTCAGCAGAACAAGCCTATTTAACATGGTAGCTTGAGAATTGTTCAAGCCAATTAAGTAATTTTCCTAGCTGAAAGTTCTTATATACATTCTAATTATGGTTACTGGACACTGAATATTCACAGTATATTAGTACAATTATTATTATTATTACCAGTTTTCACAGGTGTTTCTGCAACAGTAACACATTGGGAAGTCCCCATGCTCAATGGACCTTCAATATAAATGTGTAAGGCAAGGGAATATCCTCTAAAGACCATACTGGTTTACTATTATTAATAGTAATGATGTAAGAAGGAACACTCATTATATGTAAGAAACCAGTAAATGTTGGATTTCTGTTTGCCACGAACCTGTATTCCTATTTCTAGTATGCACATAGACACACACATACTATTTGTGCTGAATGAAATAGGGGACTCTAATTAGAAACTGAATTTAACTCCACACACACATTCAGTGATATTTAAACAGGGACTCGAAGTAATGTCAGTCTGTTTAAGAATTTAACAACAGAGCAGGACCCACAGCACTAGTGCGTGGTTGTCTACCCATTTGCAAAGTAATTTGCAATCACCTTTTCATGTCATTAATCAGCTGCTTGTCTAACTACGCTGCCATGCACCAGGGCATTATGCATTGCAAAACCTTCTTTAGTTTAGTTTTGAGGAAATGGACAGACCCCGAAAAAACTTTCAAGAAGATACCTGTAGGGAAAACGCTGATGTGAATGCAAAAATATAATAAAGATAAGAAATGCAAACTTAAACCTCATCTACTTGTCCATGCATAAGTACAGAATTTATTGTTATTCCATTTTTTAGCCTGCTGTCTGAACGTGATTTAAATTCTACTCTTCTAAGGATATCCGTGTCCCTTCTAGTCTTCAGCTGTCCTTCCAACCTGTCTCTGGACCGAACTACCATCACTCAACATTGCTGTCATGATATTGGATGTTTCAACACTATTCATCTGAACATTCACATTTTATGCTAAGGAAAACATAAGTCAGCAAAATGTTGTGAGAGAAAGAATTCACAGAGATTAGGAGTCGTTGAGATTTACACTAACTTTCCAAAATGAAATCTGGATTGACAAAGTCAGAAAAAGAAGACAGGATCAAAAAAGCAGTCATTATCACATATACAATACATACTCAAGCAATTGTTAGAAACATCTTTTCTTTCATCCACATGTAACCAGCTGATATGCAGAAACATCCGTTATTTCATCAGAGCTGGCACTAGGCAGTCTCTAGATATTAACATTTTGTAAGGGATCTGATTTGGTCTAGGTAGGAAAATAGATAATCCATGTGGAAAAAATTAAACTTGAATAACAAACTTATGTAGCTCAGAAACCTGAACTGAGTGCTATCACTGCAACTGAGCAATCAATCTTTACAAAATCTAAGGTTGTATACCTAAAACACATTTAAAGCTGATACTCTAAAATCAAAGGGTACTGTAAAGTTCACAGAAAAAAAAATCAAAGGAAAAGAATTAAATTAAGATTATATTTCAGAGAAGATACTTGAGATAAGAAGAAATATCAGTCTGGAAAATGATGCAAGAATACATCAAGATACTCTGCAATGCACTAGAAATTGGATATTTTGTTCACAGTACAATAGCAGCATCTCAGGCTATTTGTCTAGATAATTTCAAGTACAAATTAAATGCCACTGCGTTTAATATTAAATCCTTTAAAGTTACACCTCTTCCTTTACTAAAACAGCCCTATTTTGTTCTCTGTGTTCAAATGGCCAAAGGTGTGACTAGATCTTCACCCTGATGAACTGCCTTACGTATTTAGCTCGTTTTTGTAACCCTCAGCCTGGGGTTCAGCCAGCCTGTGAACAAAGCCAGGACGATGAAGCACAGCAGTGTGAATTGGTCTGTTTTACTAAGAAAATCGTTAATCTGTGAAAAAACCCTGAAAGTTCAGAAAATCAAAAACAGAGACAGAAGCTACTTTTTACTATCCTGTCACCGTGTAAGAAAACAAAAATATGCTTTCTTTTGTAGTGCTCAAATATGCACACTTTTTTTTTGCTCAGTTCAGTTAGAAAGTTTCGCTGTTATTCTAATTTTCTAGGTATCAGATCCTCTTCATTCTAAAGAAACACTGAAATTTTTAGTTCACAGAAAATATTTATTTGTGTGTTTTCTTACAAAAAAAAAATTGCATGCAAGAAGAAAACTTGTAGTGATCTTATATGTATACTCTGAGATTTAAGGCATATGAACATTGAAACAGAATCCCTTGTAGATTGAAGATACTCTGCACTGGTGTCAGGAAAGGATCAGAGGAGTTTCCATTGCAGTGGCCCAACAACTGGCCAGCTGTAATTGAAGAATAAGGAAGGGCACTCTGAATAGGTAAATAGACTGTAAGGTCCATAAATAGTGATCTTATATGTATACTCTGAGATTTAAGGCATATGAACATTGAAACAGAATCCCTTGTAGATTGAAGATACTCTGCACTGGTGTCAGGAAAGGATCAGAGGAGTTTCCATTGCAGTGGCCCAACAACTGGCCAGCTGTAATTGAAGAATAAGGAAGGGCACTCTGAATAGGTAAATAGACTGTAAGGTCCATAAATTAATTCCTTTCTGTCTTACAGAAGAGGAATAAGCTCAGCCCTTCTATTTTTTTTATTATTATCTTTTTTTTTTCCCACCAAACCCACAAATACAGTAGAATGAAGCGCAGGGTCATGCAGACTCCACGTTCTTCCAAGCTGACAGCTCTAATTTGCAGCTCTCAGTCAGAGAATCCCGTCTGGGCTGGACAAACCTGTGCAATGTCTGCACATGAGTGACAGCAGGGAAATAACCTGCAGGTTGGAGCCTCTCGGGCTATCAGTGATTAATGTGGCCCTAAAAGTGTCTCTCCTCCCAAATCTCTTAGGTTTGCCTTACGGTCTGTCAAAGTTGGGTGGCTGCATCCAGTCATCCTGCCATGGCCCCACTAGCACGGCCCTATGGCAATTAATGTCAGACTTGTAAGAGCAGAATTGCTGGAGTCTATAAAGAAACATAAATACTTACAGAGAGGCCAGACAATAGCATCAATATAAAGTCTCTGTAGAAAAATAAGCAGTGTTTTCAGAATGTCTGAGAGAATAGGGCAAATGTTTAAATATGTTAAGTGACTTCCAAACTGAAAAGTAGCATATCTGGTAAAGCTGTAACTAATCTATAGCACATGATGTATCTCAGAGCCAAGTCAGGCATGAAGTGCTCTGTTAAAATCTTTGCTAAAATTATTAAAAATACTAGGAAGTGGAGGAATATCTATCACTACTTAAGAATGTAAACTCTGGTGGCAAGTCTGCTTTTCCAAAACACAGAGAAAGCAAGGCTGACTTTGATGAATGGATATGGTTCTACATCTTCCATCAGAAAGCGTTTTTCTTTTATTCTTTTAACATTAGTAATAATAATTCTGTATATTCCAACAGAATACAAAGGAGATGTTGGACATACTTGAAAATAGTATAGCTAATATTTAAATGCTGCTGCATAACTATTCAGTTTTTTCCTAGGTAATACCAACCTACAACTCTGAATGTATTTATAGAACATTAACAACTTCATGGAGATTTTGGATCAAAATGGCATTTGGATCATGGTGACATTCTTCACTCTCTAGATAGCAAAAATATTCTCAATCTAAAGGACATTCTTGCACAAAAAGAGCATAACACAGCCACACACCTAAGAGACAGCATCACAAGATACACAAGATGAGCAGTATTGCACACAAAGGAAGAAGGAAAGCATTTAGATTTTGATCTAACTGTATTTTTATGGGAAGGAACTGTATGATGAAACCAACTTTTTTTTTTTTTTTTTTTAAAACAATCTGTGGCTGGGTCATCTCATATTTGCTGAATGTAACAGAATTATGGTGCCCCAAATGCATTAACACATCCACTCGGTGTTATATCTGCACCTCAGAGATAGAGGAAAGCAGGCCTGGGAGACAAGAACCCGGGTCTCGAATCATCCATGCACTCACTGCAGCCAGGTAGGTGTACAGCATAATGATATTAAGGATGAAGGGCAGAAATGTAGTCTCAGTTCTGCTGATTATATTAAGATGTATCACAGTTATCTGCCGTGCCCTGCTTCCTCATTACTGCGAGGAATTGCAACAGTGAAGACATCTAACATGTTGGCCAAGGGCTCCTCAGGTCTGGAGAGCTCCGGCTGTGAACTCCCATTTCATTATATTCCCCACATTACATGTCTGGGAGAGTCACAAAAATTATCTTTACCTAAAGAGTGTTACCCTGTTCCACCCTTGAGACGGGGTCCAAGCTGTCCCGAGTGCAGAACGGCATTAACAGGGGGTGGGAGCTCTGGCTATGAATATTCACCACAGCCTCGAGCAGATGTGCTAGAAAATCCCCGTCATCTGATTCCAAACGAATCATACTAAATACAGTATGCATGAAATCTGGCTCTATAAGCATTTCTGAAAATCTGATTAACACTTCTTAATGACTACAGAGTTCCAAAAATAGAGATATCTCTAGGTATCTGATGCTAGTAAAATACAAAAATAGAAAGGCTACCACCTTCTCTCACTGCTTTAAATACATGAAAGGCTCAGTATATACTGATGGAGATTGCTAAAAGAATTTTAAACTGACCAAGGTGAAAAAATATGACCTCAAAGTAATTAAAATTAATTTTATAGCCAAGGTTATTAATCTATTTCTTAGATTAAGCAACATATGCCATATATAAACAATTTGGAATAGTGCAACAGTGTACGAGTGCCATAGCACCTCCCAAAGACAACATGATATTGCATTCTTTGATCATTTTGTAATTGGTATGCTTCAATCATGAAGAAAATTAAATAAAAAATGGTTACTTCAGATTTGATCAGTAAGGAAGTCTAAACTCATACTAATGAGATGCAACAGTATATTAATATGGATGTTAATCAGTTTTTATAATATTCTGCCTGCATATGGTAGAAGATATGGTTTTCTACCTCCATGAAAAGCTGAGAGAAATCTGTTAGAAATGAAGTGGTATTCAGTATGACTGAGAACAACAATAGGTACCATAAAGTTACAAGGATATCTCAAAAGAAATTACAAATTTAATTTAAAAAAATAGTGAGGAAAACTATGTTTTATATATATATGTGAAAACTATAGTTTTCATTGTGATGAAAACTATGGCACTTCTTCAAAATGTAGAATTTGTACTATGTATTGCATTTGGTATATTAAAACATATTTTAAATTTCCTGAAAATAGAAGCATTGTCACATTCTTCAACTGCTAAGAAAATTTTGAAAAAAGTACTGAATCATTAATTTAACTACTTGTAAAATCTTGTGTTAACATAAGGAAATAGGAGACAGATAACGTGAAAGTCATGATGAGTTCCACCTTGCAGCTGTGCTTAGAAGCATGATAAAAGTTTCCAGTTGTTTGCTTAATAGAAAATATTCCTTATGACATTTGATTGTCAAGCTATGGTGTCTTATTGGGAAAGAAAAGAAATTCTGTACCATTAAAACAACTTATAATAAGGAAATAATACAAAATTATTTAAATTTGTGAGGAAATAAAATATAAAGGTACTGAAAAGCATCTTACATTACTCTTCACTGCTGTTGATTTAATAGGAGCTTTTGCATACTTTTAATATACTAAATATAAAATTAAAAATAAAATAAAGAACTGTTAAGTGGAAAAAAATACAAAACAGTGATAGGTAGAAAGGAAAAAAATACTTGATTAATATTTATTAACTCTTTTTATCTCACATCTTCCCTCAGTGCAATGTATTTCATTAACATACATTATCATGCTCTGACACAGACAAAAAAGCTAACAGAGCAAATTCTTCATCAAAAGTGCGGCTTAAAGCTGGACAAGAAAGTACTTTTTATGTTTACACAAACTCTGTGATTCTAATCAAAAATACCAAATTCAGCTCCAGTTATCTAAGTTCTAGAGAGATGATTTTTCCTCACAAATACTGGGATAGTAAATGCCACATTCTCAAGACACAACAGTCAAATTAGTCATAAATATCTCAGGGTGACTTTTTCTCATAAATTAACTATAACATCAAAAGCACAACTGAAAATAGTCATTTTCTAATTTTGAATTTGACACATACACAATATTTTATTGAAAAGTAAAGGGGATAAGTGTTATTCCAAACCTTTTTACTCTAAGAAAGAAAAACAGATTTTTGTCCACATACAGACCTAAGGATATATTTTGCACTATTTCCGTTGCAACTAGAAATACCATGGTATGAGTGCGGGCTGGAAGGGCATTCCCACTCTCAGCCACTTTTAACAAAGGGAGAAAGAAGTGAGCTGGTAAACGTGCTTAAAATCACATATGGAGAGTCTTTGTTTGTTTGTTTGTTTTGGTTGTGATTACATCTTTAAAAAGCACTTTAAACTAGCAGAAATCCAAACAATTCAATTAAATGGTACAACAGTTCTGTCAGTTTTCTTTGCTAGTTAAATCTTTGACTCCACACATTGATCTACAAGTTTTCAAGAAATTCATTGATTTACTTCTCTTTTTCCTACCACCTTGGATACCTGCTTTGAATGCATATTGTCTAAGGAATACAAAGAATGCATTGTTTTTACCTTTGCTTCAATTTGCTTAGTATCTAGGTTTTGGAACAAAAATTTGATTTTGCTCTTCCCATCATCTGAAGAACCTTTGAGCTGGGAAAACTTGTACCGCCAAAGTACAGCCTAGAAGAAACAAAACATACACAAGTCAGCATTGTTATTATGGAAAACTATATTTAAAAAAGTGGGTCTCCTTCCATGGGACCTTTTAATCTCCATACGGTACATAATTAAAACAGTTTGTGCTGTCTTGTCCCTTTCATCACATGGATGTATTTATAATTTGACAGTGTTTGATTCAGATCAGTGTGAAGACATTTGTGAAATGTACTCAGAAATACCTTTATCTCTATTTAATACCAATTAAACAAACAAACAAACAAAAAAGAGAGTCAGTAAATTTGTCTTGCCAAAAAATAAGGTTAAATAAGGATGTTTTCACTGAAGATCTGTTGACTCCTTATTTCACCTGAAATACCTACCACAGAATTACTCTTTTTTTATTTCCAGAGGAATAAAAAAATATGTTTGTATTTGTATAAAGGGCACATAATATTGAAAACAAATATATATTTAAAAATGATAAGGTAACAAAAAGCAACTCGATAATAAGAACTCTTTTTGAGTTTACATACGAAAGTTCGAACAGGGGATTTGAGATCACTAATTCTAAACCTGATAGTGGCCATTCAAGTCATTATAACACGTTGTGTTACTGAAGAAAAGACTAATGACACTCAATAATAAACATACAATGAATAAAATACAAAACTAACTAGAGGAACATTTTCTAAGTTTCTGTGTTTTTGAATCTAATGTGAATTAATGTAGACAATGTAGACAAACTATGTTTTAAATTCTTTTCTCATGAGAGCAGAAGAGTTCAGTTCTTTTCAGTTTTTTTCTTCTTTTTTTTTCCATGTAAGTAGTTGCAACATCACTGAAAAATATGTTTTCCCAAACAGGTATATTGGAAGCAATGAAATTTTCCTTTGTGGTTTGAGTGGTATTTCACATAATTATAAGGTCATCCTCATTCACACCACGCTGCTTCTTGGTGGAGATATTAATTTCACGGCTGTTGGACAACATAAAAACTTAAGGCAAGGACTGATGTTACATTTTTTTTGTTTGTTTAATGGCCTGTAAATGAATTCCTCTCAGTAGCTCATCTGTGCCCTTTGACTATATGGTTAACAACTTAGTATTGAGCTGAAATTAAACAGAATTAGGTAGAGATCAAAATCTCAACTTCCATAAATCTATGGAGGTCCTTGTGCTTCAAGATATCTCGATTTCTTTTAAATACTTGGCAAAATCTTTTACTTGCACCAAGCTAAATAACGTTATCTATGATTGTAACCATCTTAGTAACTTAAAGGGGTAAAAAAAGGATATTATCTTAACTGTTCCTAATTGTTTTAGTAACTGAAAGAGGAAAAAGAAGGACATTATCTTAACTCTTCATTAATACAAATGAAAGAAATGAGTATGACAAATGTGACCCTTTGCATTATTGACATGAATGTTTGTAAGCGAATATAACAATATATAACAAAAAATCTAAGCTCATTGCCAATTTCATATTTTGTGTGTTAATAACAGATGAGCTCCCAACAGAATAAAGAGAATTAAGGACTTTTTTCAGACATTTAGAGGAGTTGACAATTTATGTGAAACTTTATCCTATTTGGAAACGCTGCCCTCCTGAGCACTCCAATCTTTGCTACAGCAGATGGAATAGCTTCCCTCATCTTTCAGCGTGTGTAATTCCCGTCATCTTTCATGTCTACCTGTGTTCTATAGACAATGAGTTTAACAAAACAGAGCAAAACAGCATACCATTCAGTTGACTGTACATCGTAACCACCTTTTTTAGAGGTCCATGTAACTTAATAAAGCTCATCAGAAAATCACGACCTTTCCCTTCCTGAAGTAAATGTAATTTGAGAAATGAGACTAGAGAGACCATCTTTGCCATCCTTACATGTCCCAACTGGGCAAGGACGGTCTCTTTATCTCAGAACAACCACAGAAAGGTGCTACCAACTCTCTCTCCTCAGCATTTGTGCACTAGTAACAAGGCCCTTAGATGGGAAAGCAAAGTTTCAGGGTGCCTGGCTCTGTTCTCTGTCAGATTAAGACTGAGCATAGATGAAGGATTCACAGAACTACAGTATTTTGTGGCATTGCCCACACAGCTTTGCCACTTGCTTCACTCTCACTCAGCAAATAAAGAATAATAGTCACACAAAATCACAGAAATGATTCAGGATCACACTTCAGTTTATGCGTAACATCAGGATTGGAGGTGCCTACCTACCAATGACACTTAAGTACACTGCAAAATCAGCTCTATAGTGTGCAGTGGAAAAATCCTTCTTGAGACTATACCCGATAAGATAACATTTCTTCCATCAAAACAAGTTCTTAGAATTCAGAATGCAATAGGCTACTTAGAAGAGGCTATTATGCCCACTTTATCTAAATTGTAAGGAATAAAAATGCCATTGATAATTTAAGAAATGATTTCCAAATGTAAGTACCAGCTGTTTCCTTTGAGTGGTCTTCAACAAATTGCACACATTTTTCTCTTAAGTGTCCACATGAAAAAGAACTCCATTTGCAAAAGTAAGTGAGGGGAAAATGCTGTGAGCTGCAAGTTAAGTGAGGAATACAAAGCACTGTGAACAGACACATCATTCTGGCTACCTCTTTTGTGGCAAGGAGGGAATTTCTGCAGGACATTTCCTCCCACATGATTTGAACTGGAATGAATACTTACCGACCCTGTTACATTCTGGATTTAGAAACATGCCTTGGTGAATATTGGCAACAACTGCTGAGACTCTTGGTTTCACTACTGCCTGCAAAAGAAGTCTAACAAATAACTTAAAGCACATGTCCAAATTCTGGATAGCTAAAGTTAGGTGAGTTAGCTAAGTACATGCCCAGTAACAAGCATTTAGTTCTGTGTCTACTGAGAAGGTAAAGCGCTGTGTCCAGCCAGACCCACACGATACACATACACAGCAGATACAGTGATGCACACCTAGCTGTGACCTATTTGAAAATAGAGCATTTTGGGATTCCCTGCATTACCACTACTGGTTTCATTTCATCATTCAGAGGCTCGTAGCTACAGCAGTGACATAATCACATGGGAGGCAGTATTTCACCTTCTGCCACCTTGCATGGCTCCTGATTTTGGTGTCACAGTGCTCAGTGTGCTCACTTTTCAGAATTCTGATGCTGAAGGCTAATTCTCCTGCATTTAACGAATAAGTGTCCTTGGGCATTCGGGTCACCATTATGAATGCCATTGCCAAAGCCTGGTGAAGGATTTTTCCATGCTTTTGCATATCATCATTCCTCAACTAATTTGTTGAATGTTTGCTGCAGTGCAAGAGATAAAATAGATTGATATAATTTTGTACAAATATATAAAGTTGACTTCTGAGCAGTAAATACATCTGCAAAACATGCTGGCTTATGCAAAAAATATGTAAAACAGTGTCATAAAACTACTCTCAAATCAATTTTTAAAATTATTTGTAGTAGAAATACTTACTGGTCTGCAGATGCAATGTTACTGAGCTAAACGTCCTATTGTGTTCCAGCAGGGCTGCTTTTAGCTAATAAAAACATTCCCTTCAAATGCTTTCTTTGTATAATCTGCAGTAATTGTGCTTAACTTACATAACTGACCATAATTTATAGGACTGTGTATGCAATATGCAGGAAGAAATGCACTTTGGCCCTAGAACAGATTTGACAGCTGGGCCAGATGGATATTTCTTCTTTTAAGTACAAATTTCAGCCAAAATCAGTAATAGTCTGTGGTGAATATTGGCAAAAACTACTAGTGGGTGGTTACGTCCCTCTTAGTGAGTGACTCGTGAGTCACTTCTCAAGCCCAGGTGCTCGACCTTGTCATTCCTTGATGGAAGATCCAGGTAAGAACTCAGTGTCCCCTATTTAACTGTGTTCTTGGACTCCCAGTGGAATTCCAGCACTGGAGTACAGACAGAACAGCAGGTCTTCTAATCCGGAAAGTTAGGGTTAAGATTATTGAATATACTTAAAAAACCATCAGCTTCACAGTTCACATATATATGTCCACATACTGCATTCCATTAGGGACACACACACGCGGCTCATCTATGTATTGAGAAATGCACCCCAAGAAGAGAGCATCTTTGAACAAGCATCACCATGCACAAGGCTGAAAACAAACAAGATAAATCCTTTTCCAGTTGCTATTCATAGATTACTAAGGTTAGAGTTTACAGGTTAGAGCATTCGATGAAATTGATTTCAAAGAATAGAACACAAGGCAGAGGAACAACGCAGGCAGCTGACATTAAATAAGACTTAGTCTGAAATGATATTATTGTAATAAGGATTCTTTTCTTTAGACATATGCGGGGCCAAGACTCCACCCCAAAACATTTTAAGGATAAGTATTTTATTTATGAGTAATCATCCAGAGCTTATTTATTCCAGTCCTTGTAACCAAGTCCTTACCTTTGATTCCGCTAGAGGTATTTTGTTATAGTTACCCCAAGGTTGTTCTCTGCCTATGTTTATTTTATAGCTACTATATCGATGCAACATAGTGACAGAACAGAGAAGAAAAGCTATTGACTTCACCATCTGCACCACTTTACGAAAATTGAGGAAAATTATATTGTTGATTCTATTAAAATTGGTGCTAAATCTAGAACACACAATTGGCAAAAGACTTAGGAAACACTTTCATGGTCAATACATATGATAGTTGGCTCACCGCTGTCATTTCATATTCCTGAACTACGCTACACAAAATTTTGAGGAGGTATTGATTTTTTCTGATAATCCCATGAAAAGAAAGATATTTCCCACCTAGATAATGGTATCAGAGAAATAAGGAATGTATCACAATTTTCTCAGTTTAGGATATAAGTTAGGAAGGCTGGTTATGGTTTTGAGTCAAGGAGACTGATTTCCTTGAAACAGAAACTGGATTACTAAATAAAAATTATAATAATAACACAGCACAATTGGGTCTGTTTGTGTTTTGACTTACCATACTCCAAGAAATATGCATAGAAATATGAGTGTCTGCTTACAAGTGGCTCCAC